TTGAACATTTTGTACATAGTAATCAAAAGTCTATTTTGGTTAATAATAAAGTTAGATTTCACTTCAAAGATTGAAGAATGCTACTTGTTATAAAAATTCATAAAATGCAAATTTTAGTGTTACAGAAACAAGTACATTAAATAACATCAACATTAGAAAAATGTTCATTTATTTCATGAAATTACTGAGCAAAAATATTCAGGTTCCATATTTTTATCTTATCTTTCCAAAAATGATCCTGTAAATTAATACTTCTCTCCAAACAAATATCCATCAATAAAATTTTAGTAGTCTCGGATTAATATCTTTAAAAGTATTTAATGTAGAAATACAATAGGTAGTGAATTGATTTTTTTCAAACTGAAAATAAAAGTTGAATTTTTTTTCTTAGGTGTAAGCGAAGATGCCCTGAAAGAGTTCTCAATGATGTTCAAACACTTTGATAAAGAGAAATCTGGCAAACTGAATCATCAAGAGTTTAAAAGTTGTCTACGAGCTCTTGGATATGACTTGCCGATGGTCGAAGAGGGACAACCGGATCCAGAGTTTGATGCAATATTAGGCAAGAAGTTTTTTTCTGAAAAGAATTCTGATCATTATTTAGGAATATACTTTTTATTCCAGATGTGGTTGATCCTAACCGAGATGGATATGTTTCATTACAAGAATATATGGCCTTCATGATAAGCAAAGAAACTGAAAATGTCCAAAGTTCTGAAGAAATTGAAAAAGCGTTCAGAGCGATTACAGCAGGAGATCGTCCTTATGTTACTAAAGAGGAACTTTATGCGGTGAGTTTTATTGAATACTGAAAAAATTTAGACACGCCAATATTTTATTCTTCTTAATATGAATCATGAATGTGTTGAAAAATTAGTAAAAACAGTATAAAATACCTTTGAGTTCTTGAACATTTTTAGATGAATTCTGATGTGAAGTACAGAATTCTTTTCATTATATTTGTTGTTTGCTTAACCCTTCTCAGCTACCAATTTTTTTCACCATAAGGTCAATGACATACTAGCCACCCATATAGTAACAGAAATTCATAGTTCCAAACCGAGGCCTTTGT